ATAAATCGGGTTCGGGCCTAATATTTTTAAAAAAAGGGCCGGGTAGGGTTGGGCCTATAAATTTTTTTAAATATATCTAAATTTATCAATTATATATTAAATTTTTTATGTAAAATAAAAATATTTGATTTTATTTATAGAAACTAGACAACATATAACATATGTCTTTTATTTTGAGTAATTTTAAAAATTATTTTCTATATTTAAATAAATACGGGCATGACCGGGCCGGATCGGTAAATTTTTTTAACAAAATTTCTGGTTCGGGCCGGGCCGGCAAAACTTTTTTTAAAAAATTTCGGACCGGGCCGGGCTTGAAAAATTAGGCCCGATGCAGATAACTAATACTTATACAGGAATTCTGAGAGTTCCTGACTCGATAAATTACTGCCATATTAATCCTTCAATATTCTGACACCTTTCTTGACGCCTAAGAAAATTTTAGACCAAAACATTAAAAAATTATATTCGATTCATAAATTTGACGTTCGTCTTTATTAAAGTTTTATTAAAAATTTTTTTAAAAAATTATATCAAAATCAAAATGTTTTTTACAATAATTATGGAAAGTTATTTAACTATATAAGAATGTTTCACATTATGGAAATGTGTTACTTACTATAAAAATTTACAAGTAATCAAAATTTTTTTGAGTAATATAAAAAATTAACCACAGAATTTCCCACATGTGATTAATAAATCAACACTCAGCTGTAAACCATATAATAAATAGATGCCTAACAGCTGCACACATTACAAACAATTGAACCATCAAATTTATCTCAAGTAGATGGTTTAAGACCTGATAGTATGACAACCATACCTTGGGCCCTCGGCAAATCACTCATTGGGACTACACGTGTGTCTCATCATTCCTTTAAACATAAATTTCAATTTAATAACACAGGCAGAAATTAAAAAGACTAATAAATACAAAAATTTTAAAAACTTCATATTCACTCCAGTAGTGACTTCTACTAAAGGGTATTTTTCGCCTTCAACATTTATGTTTTTAAAAAATCTGCGTAATAAAATACGACTTTTCACAAATGAACCCTGAGAATTTCTTTTTATTCGATAAAAAATTCAAATAGAAATTTTTCACAATTATGGTTCCTTTTTGGGGACTCAATTATAGAATTTTATTTTAAATTATATAATTATTAATATATAAATTATAATTTTTTAATTAGGTTTTATTACATATTTTATAAATTTTCATAATCCTTAGTGTATTACAATTTTTAAAAAGACGGTTAACCAAATTAATTACGGAATTCAAATTTACTAACTGAGCACTAAATAATGGCAAAAACCGGATGTTTGTTATTACTATAGTTTTTGTTTTGGCACGTCGCCATTATTCGCTTTTTTCGCAAATAACTTTTTATTCTTAAATTCGGCTACAAAAGTAATTAAACCACTAACCTCTACTAAGGAAGCCCTAAAGAAGGATATAAATTTCATCGTTATTGCTTTAATAATTTTCTGGTATAAGTTGATCTTTAAACATTTCTTTAGCGTATTATAATTTTTACAAAGACGGTTAACCAAATAATTATGGAATTCAAATTTGCTAATTAAGCACTAAATAATGGCGAAAACCGGATGTTTAGTACTACTCTAGTTTTTGTTTTGGCACGTCGCCATAATTTGTTTTTTCGCAAATAACTTTTTATTCTTAAATTTGGCTACAAAAGTAATTGAAGCACTAACCTCTACTAAGGAAGCCCTAAAGAAGGATATAATTTCATCGTTAGTGCTTTCATAATTTTCTGGCCAAAATTTGACCTCTAAATATTTCGTTAGCGTATTACGGTTTTTTCATAGGACGGTTATCCAAAATAATAACGGAATTTAAATACATTAATTAAGCACTAAATAATGGCAAAAACCGGATGTTTAGTACTACTCTAGTTTTTGTTTTGTCACGTCGCCAATATTTGTTTATTTTTGTTTTTTTCGCCAATAACTTCTTGTTCTTAAATTCGGCAAGTGATTGAAGCACTAATCTCTACTAAAGAAAGCACTAAAGAATGATATAAGTTTTATCGTTGGTGCTTTCAATCAACTTTTAAGCGTGAAGTTGGCACAAATTTTTATTTTTGCCTGTAACTTTTTTCCTTAAATTCGGCTACTATACGGATTGTAGCACTAATAAGCACTAACGAGGCATTAAAAAATGACCTATGATTCATCGTTAGTGCTTCCAAATGTTCGGCCAACTTAAGGAGCTCTTTTCATAATATAAAATCTTTTGATATTTCACCTATGTTTTTGTTTAAGGCAAAAGAAAGAAAATTACTATGATAAAATGATTATATCACAAGGAAAACAATATCTGGTTAAAATAAGCCCAAATTATATGAAAATCAGGTGTCAATTTTTTAAAAGGGTGATGATCCATTTTTCAAAGTTAGTGCTTATTTCGAAAAAGGGGGTGCTGTGCTTTGGCATTCAAGGCACTTAGCTAGCGATCCCCCTTGTTACGCAACTTTGATTAAAAGAATATATGTTGCGTTATTCCTTTATCTTAATTTTTGTTTTTTGCATTTGAACTTTTATTATTTTGTTATAATCTAATTTTATTTTATAAACGGCGTAACCTTACTTTTTTATATATTATTTTACTTTTTTGTATTTCGTTTTATATTCTAATTTATATGTTAGAAAATGTATAAATACCTTAACAAAAGAAAAAGAAATTAGTTAATAAAATATATTTTTACTGACTCGAACCTCGCGCTATATCGTCTCCATCCTTATTCTTTGCATGGTGCCCCTTGGGTGGTGGACTAGAAAAAGATGACTACCTATTGTGACGACTATCTAACCTATAGAGACTGCTTTACCTATTGAAATGACTACCTTATCTATTGATATGACTACCTATTGTGTATCTAATCTATGACGATTGCTTAATCCATTGAGATGACTCTATTTATATGACTACCTATTGTGACGATTGCTTAATCCATTGTGATGACTCTATTTATATGACTACCTATTGTGTTGATTGCTTAACCTATGGAGATGACTACCTATTATGACTCTACCTTGTGCTTAACCTATGGAGATGACTACCTATTATGACTACCTTATCTATTGTGATGTTATGACTACCTTATCTATTGTGACTACCTAAACTACTGAGATGACCAAGAATCAAACCTTAGTACGTTCTTTCATGCAAAAAGCTTCTTTCTTTATGGTGTCCCGGCTCTGGATGTTGGACTGGAATATAATAGCCAGCACCTAACCTAATGTGACAACCTAGGAAGAACTGATATGGAAGTTGAACGATAGGTTATGAATTCTATTTGTGAGACCAATGATGGTTACTTATTATTCTAATCCACGTAAGAAGTATTATAAATTAAAATTTTATGCCAGGATAAAGGCATGTTATAAATTTTTAAAATTACTAAAATGTAAAATCTTAATGGATAATATTGATATTTTTTGATTTCTTGAATGATGACGAATTGTTGTTAATTAACAAAACCTAAAGATGAATTCTTAGATATAATTAAAAATAAACCATTAAAAATCCTAAACAAGAAGATAAAACTTAATTTTAAATATGTTAAAATGTAATTAAAACATATGAATTAAAAGGGATTGATTTAAATAACCCTTAAAGTAATACTTAAAATGATAAAAATGTTTTTGAAATAAAGCTTTTGAAGACAAAAGGTTATGTAAAAATTAAACATCATTATTTTAGAAAAATATTGTGTGAAATTTAAATTTTTTTAAGAGAGGGAAATGTGCATAATATTTGCATATTTTAACCTCGGAGATTGAAAATAAATAAAAATAAATTAAATATTAAAACGCTACTAATTAAATATTAAAACGCTACTAATTAAATATATAAAACGCATAAAACGCTAAAAGTATAAAACGTTATGATTAACTTAATACCTGAAAAATAATATAATAATCATTATAATTTATCATTCCTTATTCTGGATTAAAATTTTATTCCTTATTACATAAATATCATTCCTTATTACATAAATTATCATTCCTTATTACATATTTTATCATTCCTTATTACATATTTTATCATTCCTTATTACATATTTTATTGTTCCGAAATTCAAAATTTTATTCGTGCATATTATTCATATATTTGATTTGATCAACTATTCCAAATTACATATTCTGATTTATTCCAAATTCCTCAACTGGAAAAATGATAATTAACAATTGAGTACGATCAAACAAGCTATGATTAATGGAGACAATTATATGGATATCAAGCTTGTGATTAAACAAAACAACGTGCAAAATCGATTTATACAAACCAACGATTGGACAAGCCAACGTTATGATGATTTGTGATACAACTTGATTACCAAAATTATAAACCACTTGAACAACAAACTCTCTATGACTTCTCCGATGAAATTATCAGAAGAGGGAGATGGTGCGTTATTCCTTTATCTTATTTTTTGTTTTTTGCATTTGAACTTTTATTATTTTGTTATAATCTAATTTTATTTTATAAACGGCGTAACCTTACTTTTTTATATATTATTTTACTTTTTTGTATTTCGTTTTATATTCTAATTTATATGTTAGAAAATGTATAAATACCTTAACAAAAGAAAAAGAAATTAGTTAATAAAATATATTTTTACTGACTCGAACCTCGCGCTATATCGTCTCCATCCTTATTCTTTGCAATATATAATTACAAAATTAATTTGTTATGCATTACTATAAATTTATATCACCTATTCTTTGTTTTTTGAATTTAAAATATAATTTATAAAATTACGCTTAGTAATATATAACCAAGACTACTGGCACCTACGTGATCTATCAGATGTTAATTGACAGGGTAGATAAAGGTCACTTTCGTCTTTTCGTACGGTGGTCTTTAGGAATTTATTAGCAACGATATTAACGGTCCGATTCATTTTTCTTTCTTTTGTCATCAAACCATTTGGAGTCAAATGGCAAATTAATTTTCCTAAAATTATAAAATTATTTTTTTGTAGAAAATTCTAAAATTAATATCGGCGCTTGGAATCGGAATCTTTCTCGCATCCTTACATTTATAGGGTAGACATAAATAAAGCCAAGAAAATTCTAAAATTATTTATACAGTACCTCAAGGCAAAGGTAATTGGTTTTAATTAATATTTACATACACATTTTTGTTGAAAATTCTAAAATTAAGACGAAACCAAGCTAATATTAAATATAAATACAGTACCTCAAGGCAAAGGTAATTGGTTTTAATTAATATTTACATACACATTTTTGTAGAAAATTATAAATAGACTAAACCTCAAAAGCTAATTACATACCATTTTTGTAGAATATTATAAAATAAAGACTAAACCTCAAAAGCTATTTACATACCATTTTTGTAGAAAATTATAAAATAAAGACTAAACCTCAAAAGGTATTTACATACCATTTTTGTAGAAAATTATAAAATAAAGACTAAACCTCAAAAGCTATTTATATACCATTTTTGTAGAAAATTATAAAATAAGGCTAAACCTTAAAAGCTATTTACATACCATTTTTGTAGAAAATTATAAAATAAAGACTAAACCTCAAAAGCTATTTATATACCATTTTTATAGAAAATTATAAAATAAAGACTAAACCTCAAAAGCTATTTATATACCATTTTTGTAGAAAATTGTAAAATAAAGATTAAACCAAAGCTATTTACATACCATTTTTGTATAAAATTATAAAATAAAGTAAACCTCAAAAGCTATTTATATACCATTTTTGTAGAAAATTATAAAATAAAGACTAAACCTCAAAAGCTATTTACATACCATTTTTGTAGAAAATTATAAAATAAAGACTAAACCTTAAAAGCTAATATCAAATATAAATACAGTACCTCAAGGCAAAGGTAATTGGTATTAATTAATAACATATTAGTATTAGTAAGATTCTATCTTAGTATTTGCAAGATTATATCTTAGTATTAGCAAGATTCTATATTATTAGAATATATTTTTCTGAACAAGGCCAAGGTAATTGGTTTTAATTATGTATGGCAAATTTTTTTTTCTAAAATTTATCATATATCTTTTATAATTTTAACAGCATTTGAACACATGGATAAAATTAGAAATATTTATATTTTCTAAGAAATAGAACATTAGAAGAACAATAATTATTTTGAGTGGAAGAAGAGGAAGTATTTTACAAAATTATTTTTAAATTTTATTATAAATATTTAACCAAATTTTTCTTAATATATTTTTCCTTAAGTCATGACATTAGTGCCTCCTTTGATAAATCCTTGACAAGAAGTTGGAGACAGTGATGTGGGAATTTCTGGGAACTTGTTGGAAGAAAGTCAAAAGTTCAATCATCCACAAGAAGTTGGAGACAGTGATGTGGGGATAATTTGTACTAAGTTTATTCATAATTGCATAATGCTCTTCTTTAGATTTATCAGGATGGTGGTGAATATGTTTCAATGTAAATTTCATTTTATTACAAATTCAATTGTTTTTTAGATATTTTTATTATTAATTGTAAAAAATGCTAACATATAAAAATTGAATTTATTATTCTTTGGGAAAGTAAAATTATATTGGAAGTTCTATATTTATATTGAGATTGAATGGTGTTATATCTGTGAGGAAAAGATTGGTGAAAAGGATTACATCTTTTCCATCTATAAAATTTTTTTCTCCATATTAATTAAGTTGTTGTTGTTTTAAAATGTCATATTACTATTTATTATTTATTATATTTTAATAAAGGATATTTTAAATTTTATTGTCATTTGAGAAAATCCATAATTTATAAAATTTGTAACATAAAATTTTATTATTCAAATTTTTTTGTATCATGTCCATCTAAACAAGTATAAGGAAGGAGATAATTGATAAAAAAAATACAAAATTTAAATTTTGAATCCTTATTTTATTCAAATAATCATTTTTGAATATATATTGCTGATTTTTTTAACTAAAACAATTGATTAATTTATTATTAGACTTTTATATGTCTTGGTCAATCATAGATTTTAATTAAATAGATTAATAAATGAATCCGGTAACCGATAGATGTTCAACCCTAAGTATGATCAGAATAAAAATTACAAAATCTGCCTTCTAAAATATAAATATTTATATATTAATTTGTGCTGTAAAGTAATGTAAAAAAAAGTAACGTAGTTACTAACGTTGTAACCTTGAATTTTATTCATAAAAATATCTATTTCAGAGGTGATTATAAGCAGTGAATATTATATATTTCAAATCTTACAATTATTATTTTGCTTATCAATTTTTTTTTAAATTTCCAGATAAGAAATTATTATAATATATATAAATGATATATAAAAAAATAAGTTATATTATTCAAATGAAACAATATGTTCTAAGTCTCTTCTCTCTTTTAAAAAATCACATAAATTTTTCAAAATATTTTGTTTTGTTTGGTATCTACGATTTTTTTTGGGAATGTATGTCTGAATCCTCCATTGGCCGATTTGTCCAGGTCGACTGTTATTTCCATCATCATCTTTTCAAAATATTTTGTTTTGTATGTTATCTACAATTTTTTAGGAGTGTATGCCTGATTCCTCCATTGGCCGATTTGTCCATGTCGACGGCTATTTCCATCATCATCTTTTCAATTAGTTCCTATATCTTAGGTTTTTTGTGGAAAATTTATCATGTTTTCTTTCTTTTCCTGGAAATTATTTTCCTCTTACGATTATTTTTATTCATAATAAAATAGTGGCGCCACTATGGGTAGGGTAAAAAGTATGTTTACAGAATAATTTTTTTTTTAAAGTTAAAGAATAAAAAAAATCATTTTTTTTTCTATATACAAACAGGCAACGCTGTCATTCCCTTAGTTGTGATGATTTAATGAAACATGTTATCTTATCCATATAAAATTATTTTCTTTGCAAAAATAATTAAAATAAAACACTTGGAGACAATTATTTTTTTTTATGTACGATTTCATATTTTAAGAAAAGAAAAATAGAGAAATAAAATTATCGATTTTCGTGTTTCAAGAGAAAAAAAAATTGAAGTAAGTAAAAAAAAACAGATACATTAAAACGTAGTTTGTTGTTGTAATACCTGAGTGTTGTTTTGATAGTTAAGTAACTATATATAAACTAATAATTATATAAGATGATTTAACATAATCTGGAAGAGAAAAAATAGTTAAATCAAACAAACAGCCAAAATCATCGCAATTTAAACAAATATTTGAATGCTTAGTTAGAAAATGGAATTAATGTAGAAAAAAATAATAAAGCCTACTAATTTATAATTAAATTTAAATGTATAATAAAATTTGAAAGATTAGTAAATGAGATTTATTTTTTCTTAGTTTACCCAAGAGTAGAACTAAGCAAATTCAATTTAATTAAATCATAACTAAACCTGATTAAAAGATTTTTTATCCCGTAGCTGACTTGCTTGCAGGGCTATGCTATTTAAAAATTATAAACAACTCTGGGTCTGGACCCCATATTTGAACCTCGGGTTTGTGCTCATAGCAGGCTAGGCTTGAACACTAACTTGGTTCGTAAATTTTACGACCAAGCAAATTAACAACACTTGTGCCAATCATTTTTAAATTTTAGACGCAACACGGCTCGAATTTTCTACAAGAGCTTGGAGGGGAAAAGTTACTTCAAAATATATTTTTTTATCTGCCTGATTGATTAAATTTGAGGAGGCATCTTATAAAATTCGTTTTTCTCTCCCTTTTCTCATTATATACTATGTGTCCGCTTTAGACTCAAAATATTCTTTAAAATATTTAAAAAATAAAAACATTTAATTTTACTATAAAATTATTTATTTCTTATTACTGTTGACATTGAAATAACGATGTACACTCTAAAATTATTTTAAAAATTACATTTTCTAAGTGTAAGCTATTATGGAATATGGGGGCAATCTTTGAACTCTGCAGCCATTTTTAAGGGAAGCATGGGAAAGAAGGAAATTAATAGATAGTCATATTAAGGATAATTGCATATGACGACTCTTATTACATATCTGAATTACAAAGATTTTCAGATAAAGACAAGTCGTTCAATGCGAGTTTCTTTTTAAGGTAACCGTAACGGGTTCCCTTTTCAGATGTAACGAGTAACTGTAACGCGTTTCTTTTTTGTAGTAACGTTTACAGCACTAGAAGTAATTAAAAAATTTTAATATGATATACTGGATTTTGTTAACTTTTCAATTTTTAACTATCCACTTAAAGATCTTCATAAATATATACACATTCCACTAACTATGTTAAATTTATTTTTGGGTTCAGAAATTTCAGATTAATCTTTTATACCTAACAATTAACATAAGCCAGATAGTCTACATTCTGTTATTAACAATAATCATTTATATTAATTAATTATTATTGTTAATATGACCGATTAATACTAACCTTTAAATTGTTTTTTTATGTTGATATAAATTGATTTTTTTATAAATTGTGTAGATTGATTTTTATTATATAAATTTTTATATATTAATATGAAAATTATTATATAAACCTGATTTTTTTGTGATAAAAAAAATGTAAAATTTTAAAATTATATAAAATTAAATTAATAATTTAAAATAAAATAAACAATCTTTATATTAGAAAACTTTATGGTTATATTTTTTATTTAGAAAACTCGTATCATTACATCATTTATCCTAAAAAACTTTATGGTGGCAGAACTTTATTAATTATCAGTGTTGTTAAACGCTACTTTTAGAAGTAGCGCGCTATCGCTACCGCTATTTTATAAAAAAAGTAGCGCGCTATCGTTTTCAAATGAGTAGCGCGCTATTAGCTACTTTTTACGCTACTTTGATTTTTTTTTAAAATATTTTTTTTTACGTAACTTTATTTCCACAAATAAAATATTGATATAAAAACATGACTATAATTTGTTACATATATATATAATTTATTTATCATTGCACTTTAATAATAATAACATTTCGGTACTGTCATCCCCAAGTCTAGAGCGACGTTTAGAAAGTATAAGCTTTGCCATACTAAATAATCGTTCAGCACTAGCACTTGAGGGCAACGCAGTATTAAATTTAATAAACAAAATTTTATATGAAAAAAATCATTTAAATTAGTATTTTTAGATTTAAAAAAAGCATCTAGAGGTTAATTAAAAATACTTCAGTATATTCTTTAATAAAAGTATGCTCCTCCACATTAAAATACTGTATTCCCATTTGAGCCAATATATAATTAAATTTCCATTTTTTTCTCATTTAGAAACAATGCTAAAAGTTTCATAGCATTGTAAACACTATTCCATTTTGTAGTGTTTGGTGTCAATAAATAACGTCCTAATTTTTTTTTGAAAATATCAGACGTCTTTGATGACTTATTTTGTTTATTCCAAAGAGCTTGGCATTTAGAAAATGTAGATCTTGATACTCTTTTAAAATCCTCATTTAATAATGCTTCTTCAGCATCCACTAGTAGCGAGCTACCGCTATCGCTATTTTTTTAAAAAAGTAGCGCGCTATAGCTACCGCTACTGAAAAAAGTAGCGCGCTATTTTAACAACACTGTTAATTATAAATTAACCAATTATTTTAGCGAATTTAAATACATTCTTCCTATATTTTATTTTATATTAGTTTATATATATTTAAGGTTTTTAATAATACTTTATTTATATATTTAAATATTACTTTTTAAATATTTTATAATATATTGCATAAATTATCATATAACGATTTTAATTATTTATATTTAAATATTTCTTTATATATAATTTAATATTACCTTATATATAATTTAATATTACCTTATATATATATTTAAATATTACTTTATATATAATTTAATATTACCTTATATTTATATTTAAATATTACTTTATATATATATTTAAATATTACTTTAGATATATTTAAATATTTTATAATATATTGCACAAATTATCATATAAATATTTTAATTATTTATATTTAAATATTTCTTTATATATAATTTAATATTACATTATATATAATTTAATATTATATATTTAAATATTACTTTATATATATATATTTAAATATTACTTTAGATATATATAATTATTTATTAAATATTACTTTATATATAATTTAATATTTTAATTATTTATTAAATATTACTTTATATATAATTTAATATTACCTTATATATATATTTATATATTACTTTAGATATATTTAAATATTTTATATTTAATTAAATATTCATAAATATATATTGCATAAATTATAATATAAAAATTTTAAAATTTATTAAATTTAAATTTAAATGTTAATTTTTTTTTTTTTTTTTTTTTTAAATACAATATATTATATTAATCAGTTAGAATATTATATAATAGAACATTTAAGATGTTAGTAATTTATGTAATACTAAATATAAAAATAAAATCATAAATTCAATATTAATTAAGTGTCTTGTTTGTATTCACCATCTTTTTTTCATTTGACTCCAAACAGCTGTGGGAATATTTCGGCCCCGAACCGTGCAATTGTATGTCTTATAATTTAATTACAACATTATTCATATTCTAAATTATTTCGCGGATATGAAATTATATGGCATATTTATTTTAGTTAAAATAAGTGATTTTCATAATGATTCTTCCAAAAATGCAAAAATTATAAAATATGCTCTTAATCTTGCATCATTTAACTTTTTTCAAAGAAGAGGTGTGGAAGAATTTTTAAAATTTACATCAGAATTACTCATTACTAAAACTCAACAAGGATCTAGATGCACTATTACTCAAGATAACTATCTATGTAATACATATGTTAGAAGTGATGATAAATTGGGGGCAATATTATTTTCTGATCATGAATATCCTAAAAGAGTTGCTCAAACTTTATTAACTAAAGTCCTAAATAATTTTTCAAATCAATCTTATGAAAACAATGAAATCAATAAACCAATGATTGATCCTTTTTTAACAGAAATGCTAGCTAAATATCAAAGCCCAAAAGAGGCAGATGTATTGACAAGGTTGGAAAATGATTTAGATGAAACCAAAATTATCTTACACAACACCATTGAATCTGTTTTAGAGAGAGGCGAAAAATTAGATGACTTGGTTAGCAAATCAGACCAATTAAGTGCTGATTCAAAAGCCTTTTACAGAACAGCTAGAAAAACAAATCAATGTTCATGTATTATATAAATTATATGTATACATATATCCTTGAATTTATTGTTAATAATATTAATACAATTGTTTTAATAAAAAAAATATATAATTGAAAAGTTTTTTTCGTATAATCCATTGGTAAGCAGCTTGATTTGAGCCAATTTTTAAAAACTACAAACTCAGTATTTTAGCCAAAATTTTTTTGCATAGCCTCAAAATTTTGCTTAATTGATGTCCAAACCTTTGCACCACCTATGAACAAATTCTTTAGGATTGTGTAATATTTGAGTTAGTCATTTTTAAAAATCAACTCAAATAGAACCATTTAATAAGACAATTGATAATATGAAAGATTCGAAATATAAATGAAATATGGCCTTTTAAAATATAAAATTTATAATATGCATAATAAATTTTTTAATTCTTAGATATGAATCATAAAAAATATTAACACAACAATAAAGATAAATGTAATATTATTTGATTTGCATGAATATGATTATTAAAATCATCAAATATTTGAAAACTATTTAAAAAATTAAGTGAAATCTGGATTATTAAAATTTAAAAACATAATTTGGAAATTGTTATCCCTTGTCATTATTGTAACTTGAACCACATAGAATAAGGAGGAAAATATGGTAATTTCACTTGTAGGTATTTCTGATTAGTTCAAATGCTATAATTGGATTGTCAATGGATAGGGGAGGATCATTGTCCAACAAATATGGCAAACCAGTTAATAACATTAGAGCAAATTTTATCATGCTTAGTGTCACAGATGTTGAACTAAAGACTGAGAAAAATGTTTTTCTTTTTAAAAAAAGAATGTCAATCAATAATTTTTTTAAAATATTTTTAATTTCGATTGAAAAGGATTATTCTGTTTTTATTATTATGTGATTTTGTTTTAAAAAATTATGGAATGAGGGAAATAATTTATTTTTGGAAAGTGAAATTGAATAAATAAAATTTGGAATTAGTTATATAAATGGTGACCGTGGTTATCAGGATCAGAATTTTAATTGGGAAAAATATTTGAATAGAGAAAAACAAAATTCGAGGTCAAGGTTCCTAAAGAAGATCATTCGTATCAGGATTTCAAGGTAAAAGAAAATTTGTTTAATATATTTTTATATACAACGCAATGGTACGATTTTAATGATAGAATTTTTATTATAAATATTTAAATGAGAACATGGTTTATTTTTTTATTAGTACTCATAGGAATCCTACTTTTGCAAATTTTATAAGAATAATATTTTTAAAATATTTAATTCAAGTTTTGATAAATTGGATGTGACCTATTGTGTGGTTACAGCTTTAATTTTTTTTATTTTATATATATCATTGTTTTTATTATACAATTAATTAAGATAATTAAAAGGAAATATTTCACGAATAAAGTGAGTAAGTTAGATGATTCAAATGTTGGTGATGTAAATTCTATGACTTCTGCTAAATCTTTAGATTTTTCTGAAGGTATAAAAAATAGTTTAAATTTGATTTTACTTGAACTTAGAATATTCAAAGAATAAATAATTCCAGGGGGAATGAGAAGTAAAATACTAGTGGAGTACCTATTATTGGTAAAAGTATTATGATGTCGAAAGATATAAATAATAGTTTAAATTAATTTGTGAGTGAAATTAAAAAGCAAATATCTGAAATTGTGATTGATGAACCTGTGGAGGTTATAAGTAATGGTGTTACTAACAATGTTAAACAAAGTGAAAATGAATGTTTAATTCCAAATGAAATCAAAGAAATTAGAGAAAGTTTAAAAAATATTACTAGATATAGATACACTTAGAAATAAAAATAATAATTTTAGTGAAAATTGCAATATTTGTGGCCGAAAAGGTCATAGTAAAAATTGTTTTTCCCACTATGATGGAAAAATTAATGAAAATGTGAGTGTAAAAATGAATGATAAAAATAATATAATTTGTATCGATGTGGTATCTCAGGTCATATAAATAGAAATTGTATGGTAAAAGAAGTAAATTTTAAAAATGGTTTTCCTAACAGACCAGCAGTATTGATAAATCCAGTGGTTCGTAATATAAAAGATCCTACTAATTCAAATCTGAAAAAGATGTAGGTAATATGGATAATGATCGAATGTGTTTCAAGTGTGAGAAAATGGGTCGTGTTGCTATGAATTGTGTTCAATCCATGAGTGGATTGCAGTGACAGTGACTATATGATTTGAAAGAGAATCATATAAAAATCGAAAATCATATTAATAACAAAATTTTTAATATATATAGTGTTGTTAAAAATTATTCTGATATATTTAATAAAAAAATTATTGATATTCAGAGGCCATTAAATTCAGAGTTGAATTTAGGCATGAATATGAATGATGTTAGTGATCATTTAAATATAATTCAGCTGATTAGAATGAATAAAATTTTAATGACTGAGAGAAAGGTTAATCAGTGTACATGTCCTCGTGTGAATATATTGATAGACAAAATATAGAAATGTTGTTTGACACTGGGGCAAGCATTTCAATAATGTCTAGAGCAAATTAATATAAATATTGGCCTGAGGGTACACTTGAGAAAGAATTAATGTGTGTTAGACAATTTGATGGGTCTGAAATTTTGGGTAAAACAAAATTGAGTGATTTTCAATGATATAACATTTTTTCTTGATATATGGGTAGTCTTAAACCTAACATACTGAATTAATTATGGATAAAAAATAAATAATTTAGTGAAAAGATTTATTATAAAAAATTTTTTTAGTGAAAATATTGAATAGACAATGAAAAAAATTTCAGGCATGATTTACTTTGTAAAAGGATAGTACTTAATATAGTGGTATTCCCAGAGTTGTTAAAAGATCGACGATCCTGGATTCGATCGCAAATTTGTCAATTTAACGAGATTTATGATTCTGACTTAAATTGAGGATCGAGATCATTTTGTTTAAAATTCGATCCCGATCTTTTTAAAAATTAATTTTTTACTTAAAAAGCAATAAATAAAATAAAAATGCTGAAAATTAAATTAAAATATTATATTTAAAAAAAATATCTATCTTCATATTTTATCAACTTCCATTCCAACATTTATTTTATAAATATATTTATTCATTTCCTAAATTTTACGAGATTTAGAGCTCTTACAAGTTATATATAAATTTATAATAATATATTAATATTTATTTAAATAGGTAAATGTAAATGTCCATTATAGATTTAGAAGATTCTATTGCTTCTACTATTGATGTAACAGCAGATATAAGTGAGAATGAGAATCTTTTACCATTTTTGAAATTACGTAAGTATTTTACTTTATGTGAAATGGATGAAAGCAACTCTTATAATATGATCAGCACCAAATGCCGTCTCTGTAAGAAGATAATATCATCTTCCAAAATATCACCCTCAAACTTAAAGAGACATTTACAAGTAATTCTTTTAAAATTTTTTTATTTGATAATCTTAATGTGAACATGTTTAAATTTAATTTATTACATTCCTGAGTTGAGCAGGTCCTACAGAAAATCTAGATACAGATTCTTTATAAAAAAAATGAATTATTAGATACAGTATAATTAATAAATATTTGATGAAGAGTTAATCTTGGTTTTGTTATTTATATATAATAATTAGGCATTTATTTTTTAATATTACTATTATATTAGTTTAATTTTTAAAAGAAGAGTATTTATAATAAATGGAAGTGCAATAACTAATAATTAAGCCTTTATAATGTATTTTGACTTTCTTTAATATAATTAAAACATCCAGTTCAATGTTATTTGTATTGAACTTAGCAATGTTTCACCAAAAGAAAAATAAATATCTATTCTATTATTTCTTTATTATAATATGTTAAATCTAATCAATTAGTATTATAGTTTCAGTTTGAGCTTGATTATATAATCCTCTTGACATTATTTTTAGGGCTTTTTTTAATAAAATATTTTGAATTGAAAGTATTTTTTGTATCATTTGACTCAATCCATAAGTTCTTAAATGCCAAAAAGCCTCATTATATTCATAATAGGAAAATACTTTATCAAAATCTTTGGCCTATATCATCTTGGGCAACTTTTAATAATGATAGACAATATGGTAAACTTTTTTAAGATAACCTACCCCCTTTTAACCACTAATAAAACATACTTTAATATGTTTAACAAAATTTGTTGAACCCTTAATCCATAGTTCTTAAATGCCAAAAAGGCTAATTATATTCATATATAGGAAAATATTTTATCAAAATCTTTAGCCCATATCATCTTGGGCAACTTTTAATAATGATAGATAGACAAAGACAATATTGTAAACTTAAAATAACCTATATGACCCTTTTTTAACCATATATAAATTAAATAATATACTTTAATATGTTTAACAAAATTTGTGTTGAACCCTTTATCATTTTTTTTGTTTATATAGGTTTTACATTCAGCCTGTACATTGTTTTTTTTTAACTTTAAATTTCCATATAAAATTTTAAAAATGAAATTTGATTCAGGAGAAGTTATTTTCATCCAACTTTGATACATACTATTTTTTTCTTTTATAAAGAAAAAGCACAGTGAATTTAAAAATGAGATTACCAAACACCTCAACGAATTCTCTACCCAAAAAAATATACCACTGCAAAACCAAAGTGGTTCTGGTTACAAATCCAGACAATCTAAATTAAATTTTAACAATCTAAACATTCCAGCTGTATCGCAAAAAACAGCAGACAAGGTTATCATGGATTTTATTATTGACACCTTCCAACCACTGTCTCTGGTTGATGATCCTTCATTTGAAAAAATGATTATAACTTTTTCTCCTGCGACAAAAATTATTTGTCGCCAAACACTGGGCAACAGGATATCTACTTCCTTCTCTTATATGACGACAAATCTTATAAGAGATTTGTCTGAAGTTTCTTATGTATGCACCACTGCTGATTGTTGGAGTGGTCATCGAAGGTATATTATATTTATATGAATTTTATAATGTTTATTTTATTAGGGCTTTTATTGGACTTACTACACATTGGCTGGATCCGTTAACCCTCAAGAGAAGGTCAGCCGCTTTGGCACTGAGGAGGATAATTGGGAGGCAAACATATGATGTTTTGGCCAACGAAAT